TATTGTATTAAAGTGTAGATACGGCTCGGCTGCTACTGTACCCTTGGCCGTGTACGATGGTGTACGTATTTACGCAATCTTTAATCGCGCTGGCTAAGAATAACCTGTATATATACAATAAATTAACATATTTTCCGTGTAAGACGTGGTGGCGCAGAGGGACAAGACTCAGCGTGTATGCTGAAGGTCGTGAGTTCGGTCCCGGAATGCGCGCAAACGAATTTGAATTTTTCTTTTTGCCGAAATTGTTTTTTTTTCTCGTTTATTTACCTGTCGCATAGTTAGCTATATGCATTGGGAAGATGAATTTAGATGCATTTCGATGATTTTCGGAAAATTTAATGTAATTTTAGTGGTTTTCTGCTTATGAAACATTCTAGAACCAGTCTCCGAAATGCGCGCATTTTTTGAACAAATAGTATACTATAGTACAGCCCGGCTGGCAGCCGAGCAATCGGAGACAAAATTTCCGGCTGTCAGCCGGCGTCAAACGCGCTAATCGGGTGAAAGTTTCGCTCATTTCAATCGCCATGTTTGATAAAATATTGTTGTAAAATGCCAATACTTCATGTTAAAACATGTGTAATGTATCAAAACATAAACAAACGCCGGGCACATGCGAAGAAGGAACTTATCTCTCCCTTTAAAGTCTCCACACACTCGAGAACATTTTCATCTTAACATATTACGGAGTGTCCAATAACACAACTTAACATATATAGAGTGTGTATTATATAATTTCCATACCCAGCGCAAGCAGAAAGATGTTATCTGCCGCGGCTGGGTCTTAAACCCACGACCTTCGAATTACTAGATCGACGCTCTACCAACTGAGCTACACGGTCAGACGGATTTAAGACTGGAAATTATGAAATATATACTGAATATATATATATATATATATATATATATATATATATATATATATATATATATATATATATATATATATATATATATATATATATATATACGCGTCCATGAAAATGGACCTTACTCCTTATATAGCAGTGCTATATACGTCACGTAATTTATCGAACCCGAAAATATCCCATAATTGGCCTACGTATGTTTTATTCAATCAAATAATTATGGTCTTACCGATGAAAAACTTGCTTGAATAATATTTTCTGGGAATAGGTTTCTATATAACGAAACAACGAGAGAAAAGAATAAAAATAAGCTAACTGAATGAATGGCGCGGTTTTAAATGGTGGGCTAAATAGTCAATGAAAGGACCGACTTTAATTATTCCATATCAAGGCGAAAAAATAAGTTATACAAGCAATACTTATGTAACCCTACCCCTGAAATTGAATATTATTATAAAAGATATAAGAATAAGTTAAATCATTCACTTAGAATTGCCAAATCATCCTACTACGTTAGGAAATTGGAACTGAGTATTAAATCTGATATGAAATCTTCTTGGAAGGTTCTTAACGAGGTTATTAATAAAAAAGATCAAAATCTAGATTACCGTCATCTTTTAGAACTAGTGACAACGCTGAAATTTCAGACCCGACTGAAATTGCTAATAGATTTTGCAATTATTTTTCTAGTATCGGTCCAACTCTTGCCAAAATAATAAAACCTAGTTCTGTTTCACATCGTCAGTTTCTCGCTGGTTGTCTTCCACAGTCGGTCTTTCTTGATAATGTGACCACTGGCACTGTTGAAATTATTGAAATTTCGAAAACTTTCCAATCAAATAAAACTGCTGGTTATGACAAAATTCCAATGTCAATAATTAAACGGTCTATTAATATCATTGCCAAACCACTTGCTCACATAATTAATTTATCAATAACAAGTATTGTTCCTGACGAAATGAAAATTGCATGTGTCATCCCGTTATTTAAAGCAGGTGATTGTGCTATATTTTCAAACAACAGACCAATTTCCATACTCCCAAGTTTCTCAAAATTTCTTGAGCGGATTATATATAATCGTTTATTGTCTTATTTAGATAGGTTTAAGATATTATGTGATAATCAATATATGTATTTCGTAAAAATCATTCAACTTCGTTTGCATTACACCCGTTTTCAAAATTACGCGACCAAAGACGAAAATGCTCGAGTTGACATGTCAGTTTTATGTCATTCGGTCAAGAAGTTTAAACTTTGAGTTTTGCGGTTCCTTGTCGATGTATATGCTTTGTATGTTTTATATAAACAGGCTTAGAATGATTTTCAAGATATTTTAGTGAAAATTATTGCAAAATTTAAGCACAAATAAAATTATAACATCACCGTTATAGTCTAGCGAGGATAAATTGTTATCTTTTAAACTTTAAAAGTTATTCACGGCACATATTTCTGTTGTGATGGTTTGTATTGTGCTTTAGTTTGTATATCTAAGTTATCTAACTCATTTTTGTTCAGTTTTGGTATTAAATACGGTTTAAAATGTCTTTTGACAGTTTGTTTACGTTTGCTATTTTTAGCAGTTTTTGTGACATAAAACTGACATTTGAAGCACAAAATAGAGAAGGGCAGAAGCTTCACTCGAGTCGGAACCTTTGAAGTTTTTGTGCCGGCACATGTTACTTCCGGATCCTGGCCGCCATGTTGAAAGCAACCAACTCTGGTCCAAAACATTATAAACTAATATGGCGAAACTTGTATTTCGTAACTTTAAATGGGTATATCGTCGTTATTTTATGGTGGATGTCATTGAAATTTTCAGGACGTACAAAAGAAAGGTAGATTATTCATTTTATTATAATAAAAGCTTATTGAATGATGCTAAAATTGTCATTTTAAACGCAGCGAACTGTATGTGCTGTTTTGGCACCGATGGATATATACGCATTTATATGTTGTTTTTCTGAGTGTAGTTTGAAACTATTGCAACTTCTAATCCACTTAACTTGAAGAAAAATGCGTCATGTCTTGTTTATAGAACGCAGTAGGTTGATTTTTTTAAATTTTAGGCGCATATTATACTGTGAATATCCTTATAATTCGTACTACTATTCGTACTAAATTATATACCTGATCAGTAAAAGGGGATGTGATGTCTTTGTATTGGGCTTCTTTTTTTAATTAACAAAAACGTTTTTGGACTAAACTAAGTAAACTGCGCGAGTAGAATCCATTTTCACCAGAACTGGTTTATAATTTGTAACTTTGATATTAAACTTTGATTGCTGGGTAACAGTAATGAGTACGATATTTGTTCACATCTGTATCAAGCAATTGATGATGGAGCAGACTAACTTGCCAGAAGTTACAGTTCATGACCCAAAATTGCAACACACCAATCTCATGTAGATTTACTCAGCAAACACCATCTTAATTAATGATTTCACCTGTTTTCAATTACCATCAGCATTGTTAGGTGTACCATTGTAGAGATAAGAATATTGAAGGAGCAAGACTAATAAGCTCCAAAATAATAAAATATTGCACATTCAAACTGTGTAGCTCAGTCTGGAACGCATTGGTCTTGTAAACCAGAGGTTGTGGGCTGCATTCTTACTGTGGTCAAGTTGATTTTTCAGCTTGCCTGGTGTAGATTTACTCAGTGTAACAACATCTTAGTAATTTCTCCTGTGTATGATTACCATCAACATTAGATTTAACACCAACCTTGTATCTTACAGTTCAGTTCTTATGTACTTTGGTGTAAAAGATTTTAAGCAATATAGCTTGTAGAAGTTACTGTTAAGTAAAATGTTTTGGCAACGCAGCGTATTGTCCAGTGAAGATGTGCTACCTACAAATATTTTCTGTTCTTCTTTTTAGTGTTGGAAAGTTCACGGTTGGCAAATTTCAAGCTGTAGTAAATGCACAACCTCAAAAACAATTTTTGTATCTTTCATGATGTAGTCCAGAAAGCAATTTGTTGGAACATGAAGACCTTCAAATGTGTTTTCTGTTTGATCAAAGGCCTTGAAGAAACAAAACTGCTTCCTGTTATCATCTAGGTCATTACATTGGATGGCATTTGTGCATGTAGGACAGTTGCACATCTTAATAGATTTATGGATCTAAAGTCAAATTTATGGAACTAAATGATGGATTTATGGAACTAAATGATGGATTTATGGAACTAAAATCAAATTAAATATGGATTGATAATATGGATAAAAAATATGGATTTGTGGAACTAAAATCAAATCAAAGTGTTGTTTACATTTTTGGGCTTGTACACAGTAGAATACATTTAATAGATGTTAAAGTTTCATTTACTTGGTTCCCTTTGTAAAAACAACACTACAACTTACATGCACCAACATCCGATTTGTTGCAAGTTGAAACTAGTTTTATTGCTATTTTACTCTGCCAACAAGTCTTAACTTTTACATGAGCCTGACTAGTCCTGTTAACCGAGGCACCCAGCTTAATGCAAATCATTTAACAAGAATCTGCCTAGCTGAGATCTCACTTGAGTCAAAGGGGACGCTGAGATAACCGGGCTGGAATTTTCCCATGTAAAGTCACCAGTTCATGTGACCTGGCTAGCCAGGCCTTCAGCCTGGTTAACCGGGCCAGCCTGCATGGCTATCCGGGCTCATGTAAACAGCCCCTAAGGTGATAGCAACTACAATAATATACTTGGTGCTAAATGTAACATAAACTTGAGTAACAGAGAAAATTCTCATCTTCAGATTATTTTCCCCTCATTGTAGAGTAAACTGTTAATATGTATCTTAAAAACTAGAGTGTATATTAGAATCTTCTCACAGA